GAAATGTCCAAAATCTTAAGGAGCATGATTAAGTATTCAAGACTCAACTCAAGTGCATCTTGAAAAAAACCTCAAGCATGGACTCAAGCACAAAAGTTTGAGATGACCAAGTTTGAAGCATGTCACATATCTGTTGAACTAACCAATAATAGGAGCTTTGAGTCCAATTGTGGAATCTTAGGGCTAATTTATGCAAGTCCCTAAATTACTCAAAAATAGATGATGATTTATGACATTTTAGTATTCAAGTTTCAGACCTCTGGACTTTCAAATCTAGTTGGTCGAATCCCTATGAAGTATTGTTGACCTAGCAGACTTCTTTGCTAGACTTTCAATTGACCCAGAACTGACCATGCCTAAATTCAGCTATATCTTGATACTTAGTCTCTTGATTTATCTGTCAAACCTTGTTTGACTATTGCAATTTGGGTTCTCAAGAAGATTTGTGTTTTTCATTAAATGCAAGATAATCTGTCTTTCTAATTTGGAAATTATGAGGAACTTCTATTATCCAACCTTATGCCTCAATGTCTCAAACATGTTATCTTTATGAGGAACTTCTATTATCCAACCTTATGCCTCAATGTCTCAAACATGTTATCTTTATGAGGAACTTCTATTATCCAACCCTATGCCTCAATGGGCCGTGTTACTTTCTAATTTTAGAGGAAAATGTATCAAAAGACGTGTCTTGGAAGAAAGGAAAAATTGGTCCAATTAAGATGTAATATTAACTTAGTTGAAGAATACTCTTATACTGAGTAGAAAGATAGTTACCTATGTAAATAAATATCAACTATCAGTCTCTCTCCCTCACGATAAACCCTAACACTAAATATCTCTTAGTCTTTCTCTCTCCCTCTATATAGTCGACGCTCAAAGCTCTCCACCGCTTCCTCCAATCCTCTTCTCTCTCCAATGGGCTTAACACGGGCATTAGCCGAGCATTAAGCAATTTTTAAAAATCTAGATGTTGCAAACTTTTACAAATTTCATACATTTCAGTTACAACTGCATAGTTGTATACTTATATAGAATACTGAAAATTAAAAATGAGGAATCTCTGGTTACAATTGCAAAGCCTTAAATTATTTATTTTAATTATTATCCATATCTTAAGTTTTAATAGGATTTCGGCCAGCTTTTTTTCTTGGCACTTTTTTTCACTTCGAACCACTTAAGCCTCAGATAGCCTAAGCGGTTCCTCAGCACTTCGCTCCGCTTTGCGCTTTCCACGACCTTGATTATTATGTTTTCTTTTGTGATTGATGCCCTTGAAATTGTCAAAGAAGATTTAACAAACTCGAAGCAATAAGCTGAAGCATGTATGTTATTAAAATATTGATCTTTATTAAAATTTTAAATTTGTCTTTTAACTTGCATTTGCTAGAAAAATATATTAGTAGTTACTAATGACTTGTCTCAACCTACATAACAAAATGATCAAGACATTGTAAACATTATTCATCAGTTAAGAGTTTCTAAGAAACAATTGCAAGTGATGCGAGATGATGGATGAGTCCTTGTTTCATGAAGTTTGCTCTTTTGTGAGAGGAACAATATTGCATCTCTAGAAATTGCAAGTGATGCGAGATGATGGACGAGTCCTTGTTTCATGAAGATGAAGGAGTCCTTGTTTCATGAAGTTTGCTCTTTCGTGAGAGGAACAATATTGCATCTCTAGAAATTGATGGTTTGTTTGTAGCTCAAGGGAGGTCAAGACAAAAAGATTAACATGTTTTGAATTTGCATCATTTGAGGTTGAATATATATTCGAATGATTAGGAGACAACTTGAGGAGTTTAATAACCCCTATCCTAGCTACTAACGTTGAGTTGCTCCTGTGAGCTATATGTTTGGTCAATTAATCAAATTGTGTTTCAGTAATGTTATGAACTTTACGTGTATTGTCATCTTAGACAAATAGTGATGACAAATAGTACAGATGGACGACACAACACCTCAAAAGCATTGAAATGTCCAAAATCTTAAGGAGCATGATTAAGTATTCAAGACTCAACTCAAGTGCATCTTGAAAAAAACCTCAAGCATGGACTCAAGCACAAAAGTTTGAGATGACCAAGTTTGAAGCATGTCACATATCTGTTGAACTAACCAATAATAGGAGCTTTGAGTCCAATTGTGGAATCTTAGGGCTAATTTATGCAAGTCCCTAAATTACTCAAAAATAGATGATGATTTATGACATTTTAGTATTCAAGTTTCAGACCTCTGGACTTTCAAATCTAGTTGGTCGAATCCCTATGAAGTATTGTTGACCTAGCAGACTTCTTTGCTAGACTTTCAATTGACCCAGAACTGACCATGCCTAAATTCAGCTATATCTTGATACTTAGTCTCTTGATTTATCTGTCAAACCTTGTTTGACTATTGCAATTTGGGTTCTCAAGAAGATTTGTGTTTTTCATTAAATGCAAGATAATCTGTCTTTCTAATTTGGAAAGATCCCACACAATTGACTCTTTAAGTAACAGGTTCCCTTGCAACTCTCCCATGAATCAAGAATACCTTGGTAATCTAATATCAACGGCAGTAAATGCTACAGCAGTGCCCACCTCTTCAGCCTCTTATGCCTTATGCTTAAGAGCCTCATCTTCCAAGCAAGCTATTCAATCTCGAGTTCAGTAACCCTATCAAGATCTCAAATAGCTTGAAAAACTATTAAACCTTTACCTCCTCGGATTCAACTTCATTCAATAGCCTGAGGGAGAATCCAAAAAATAGTGCATGATTCCCTTGATCCTTATCATTCATCCCCAACAATCATAAGTTTGTTTCATCAAAGTGCCTAAGTGATATTACCTTCTCAGTAATTACAGTGATAGTAGAGCCTCTTTATACTTGTCATGTTTTAAGGGTGATGTTGATATTAAGTTCTCATCCTCTCCTGTATTGTAAGAGAAAAGACAATTATCTTTATACTTTACTCTCTTGGCCTAAAGAGTGGTTGTGTCGTAGTGCTACTCACCCAAGGTTGTTGAGTGTAGTACTATTGGAAGTCCAGTCTTCTGGGTTGAAAGTCTGTGTACTTCAGTCACGAATAGTAGAGTTCTAAAATACAACTATTATGTGCTAGGTAGGTGGGCATAACCATTGGAGAAGTGAACCACTTCTAAATCTCATGTGTTTGTGATTAATAAAATCTCTCTAAGCTATATCTTTATTTATAGCACAAATAATGCTGATAATCTTTTGCACTGACTTGTGGTACTAAATCTTGAAGTTACTATTGACACTTCAAACATCTCGTTACAGTGTGTTTGAAAGGTAATACATGCATCAAGCTCTCAGTTCTTTTTCATTTATTTTGAACTGTCATTTCATTTTATAAATAATAATTAAGTACTTTAATTTCCAATAACCCCTATTCAACCCCACTATCGTTTTGCAACTCATTTTCTCACTGCTTTTGATAAGGAAAGACTTATTTGGTTTGCTCAATTTTATTAATCAGAATTTTCATCAGTTGAACTTAGTTTGCGCAATAACCAAGATGAAAATTATATTATAAATGTGTGTTTGGATGGGAGATTGGTGATCTCTCCAAACAATTGGTTGAGACAAAGAAGCACATCGCATATCCATTTTTATATTTATCAATGAAGTTAGCTTTGATATTACCAGTTGGAATTGCAATTATTGAAAGAACTTCCTCTATACTGAATATTGTAAAGACCTGAACGCATAATCATATGGTAGAGGAATCGTTGAATGACTGTTTAGTTACATATACTATTATCTAAAAAACCAACAAGGGGTAGTGTAAATTTGGATGTGCGGTGGACATATCTTCATTTTCAATGGCAATAGTAAGGGTGTAATATCCTATGTCAATTGGATGTGTGGTTGGATGTGCGGTGGACATATCTTCATTTACAAGGAATGACGTTTTTTTGCTTTGATACTCTCTTTATTCATCTAGAATAACCTATGTCAATTAATAGACAACTGGAATCCACATAATTGAAGCCTCGTGTATTTTATTTTTAGGTGATAAAAATACAAAGAAAAGGAGTAACTTTAAAGAAATGAGTAAATATACATAAGCAAAAAAAGGTTCTATGCATATATGTATACCACAATCTATTTATACTGGTATGTAAAGTAATAAATAGTGAGGATGACAAAATAGTGGAGCATTTCAAGTTCAAATAATAAAGGTAACAATAAATTTCTTGTAGGAAATCACTAGACCCTCACTCTCCCCGTATCTATTAAAAACGCACTCTCAGTAAATAAATGTAATTATAATTAAAAAACCAAATATGTAAATAAAACAATATGTTTTCATGCACGTGCATTTGCACGTGTCAGATTTCTCATAATGAGAAAGACATATTTGATGACATAGAAAATTAGTAAATCATTCAGAAGTATCAGAAGATGAGACCATGACGAGAACAATTATCAGGGCCTATTGGAAGTTGGTACTATTTCTAAGTTTTATTGATGAAAATAAAAACGATCATGTATTAATATGAAGAAGATAATGAAACGTATCCTTGAGATCTTTGTGATTATTTTATAAACAAGTTCTTCTATTAGTATATAACTTATCAATTTATATGTATAATTGTTTGTCCCAATAGGCAAACAAATTTTTGCATCCGTCCTTACTCTCGTATTAAAGAATGCATTCACACGTACACGCAAATTAGATCCTAGAATGAAGTGTAGATAGCAATATCATAGATAAATCACTAAAACCAAAAGAAAAAAAGAGGGAATCAATTTTGATATCATTGAGAAAGACAATATACCTCCCATGTAGGATCACGCAAGTTATCCCTGTATAATGGTGATAACATTGTATATATTGTTTTTTTTCAAAATCATTGGCAACTGGAATGTTGTAATTGAGTTGCTTGATTTTGTTTTATGGTGGTGGTGATGGGTTAATACTATGTTGTGGTGCGGGAGTGAGGGTGAAACCTTTCCCGATTCGAAGCATAAAAGAAATTTTGAGAAAGACAATATACCTCCCATGTAGGATCACGCAACATGCTATAATACTGTGCAACCTTTTTTTGAAACTCAAGTTGTTCATATCTCTCAGTACCATAGCCTCCCCTTTCAGCAGCTCTCTGAAGTAAGAACAGTTTCAAAAGCATTCAGACCAATTGACATAGAATAAGATAAGATTTTGTGAAGACAAAAAAAATGCTAAAATGCACTTCTCTTGGTCATGGAATAGACAGAACAAGGAACTTTTACTTCCTCATTTGGGTGGTGATGACGAGGATATCAAATTACTGGAAATATAACAAGAAAACTTAACACTAATAATGTCAACGACCAAAAGCAAATAAGAAGAAAAGAGGAAAAGAAAAGAAATGGGAAAAAAACAATGCCCACTTTCAATATCTATCCGGCACCAGCCTCAAAAATGAATTAAATTCAAGAAGTAAATGCATAAGCTTAAATATAATCCCAAGTAGACTCTCAAGTCTCTGATTTACAGATTTGGATCCTCTTATCTGTGTGCAAAGAAAAGTAAACAATAATTTTCATCTTAACCACTTAGAAACCACTGTTGCAAATGAAATGGGTTTAGTCATTGCTTAATTGTTACCATACTCTGTTTCATCATTTGAATGACTGCTAAATGAACCAATTCACTGCTAACTATACCCACAATGTTCTTTTTGTTTTTCTTGTTGATTGGCTCCTCAACGACTCTTTGTTCGTATTTTTCAATCAAGTTTGCTTTCACCAGAAGACTTCTCTGGGTCTCTTGAATACCGCAAACTGCCATGGCTATTCTCTCATCGATTTGGAGGAAGAGAAACTTGATTGTGTTATACTCCAAAAATCCCCATCCTGACAATAAGCTGAGGACATTTCCCTCTTTTCAACCAAGTCCTTTTATTGATTATACATCGACAAAGTGTGCGCAACTTCTTTTAGTTAATAAATGAATATGAATTGAAAAATATATTCTATTTGCAAGAGTTGCACTAGCTACTAGGACATCCATACAACTTTATTAAATCTCTATCCATTGCAACCGCCACATGGCAAAAATGACACATAGTAAAAAAATTACCATTTAAACATACATTTACCATTAATTTAAAAAACATATTTATTTAGAACATATATCATTACCATTTAAAACCTTCAATTCTCACAGCATAAACATCATTCAGTGTTGCTTCCACTTCTGCAAAAATACCTTGAAACTAAAACCTATTTCGAGATCTCTCTTCGAGTCGCTTCCCTTTCTTCATCTTTCTCTCAAAAATTCACAGAACTCCTTAAAAGGTAGCTTTTTAAGTATTTCGATTTGTATCCACTTAGTTTAGCACCTAAGCAGCCAAGTCACCACCCATTTTGTCTCTTGAAGATTTGAATTTTGAATCCAGCTTACAACTCTATCTCGTCTTCCTAATGAAAAAGCTTTGTTCTCCTTAAGATATGCTAATAACTTCGCCTCTTAATCTTTTGCTCTCTATCCTTAATTCGTGTCATATCAACCGCCTCTCTCAATCATCTTTCTCTTCTTAATTGTTATCCTCTTTTCAATGCACATGTTTATTAAAAATCTTGAATCTTTTAACTCAAATTATCATCATCCCGTCTTCAACTCCCCCCTCCCACCTTCATCTCCTTCTCCCCTATGCCACCAGCACCATCTCCCTACCTCTCCCTCGTCCCTTCCAACGACCTGCTCTAACCCTACACCTGCCTCACCTACGAAGTCAAGGCATCTAGTGCTTCCATTTTACCTCTCTCCCACCAAGTGTTTGACTAAATGCTTTGCAGAAAAATCCACCACAACATGATCACCATCAATGTCCTCAAAATTCCACAGAAAATATTCTCCTGATCTTCTCAACGTGGTGGCTACGTCATTGTCATCAAGTCCCTCTACATATCATATACACTCCCAAATGCTAGAGGCCAATTTGAGCTATGTTTTCAAGTATTGCTCTTCAATTCTTCTACAAGAATTAAGAATATGAAACTTTTTAAGGAATTAGTGTGTAAAGGGAGAAATTTTTGTTGGTTTTATGTGCAATTATTTGTTATGAGTTAAAAAGTTTTAATAATATACATTAGATTTTGACTGTCATGGCTATTGTCAGATGATGATTTCAATATGATGAGCGTTGGCTGAAGTATCGAGTCCTTGGAAAAAAGAATATTTTTTCATATATTAATGTTGCAAGTTCATGTTATATTTAAGTATGTATTTTCTCTAAGTCACAAGGCTTCAATCACTAGAAATAGTTTGGTGTTTGGTATTTATCAATTTTATTGTTATTCTATCTGGCCTTGTGAATCATCGGTATATAGCTATTAAATTTTTTTACTGTAATTAATGCTATTTTCATTTTGCAGTGAGATTAATGCTCTTTCCATTTTAGTGTTCTTGTATTAGGGAAAAATAGTTATTTTTATTGACAATAATTCGTTACTAGATTATATTTTTGAAGTTGGCATGAGTTAATTGATTATATTGTATCTTTTTCATTATTTCAAGAGATTTACAAAAAAATGTTGGATGTGTTAACCCAAGTGAAATGTCTTGCTACATTGTATGTTAATTCATCTGTAGAGCTACAAATAATGTGTATATAAATATATATTTTCCAAAATAGTACTATTTGATTTTAATTTTGTTTTGTTTTTTCTTGATGTAGCTATTTATTTTGAATAAAGAAAGTCTGCTGGAGCTCTTTTACCTCTAAAGTAAAGACCATATTTCACACGGAACGTTAAAGCATAATTTTTGTACAGTATTTTTTATTTCTAGAAAGTTATTGGTCTTTTTGTTTGATCTATTTTTAATAATATGTTTGCAACATGTTCTTTCTCCGTCGTTTGAATATATATAAGAAAATCAATGAAACACAAATCTCATGCTCAAATTTACCTTTCTTTTGTTTAGTTGTGTTATTTTACTTCAATCATCTTAGGCCTTTGTTATGCATCATGAAGTGAGCCTTTTGTTTTGAACTGGTAGGACTTCTAATACTTTTAGGTGTAGTATTCCTCACACATTATTTATTTCTAAGATACTCTTTACTAGCTGTAAAAGGAAATTTTCAAGAAGTGAGATGACAACAGGATTTTTCTTGTCTCAATTTAAGCATATTTGAATGTCATCAAAAGTTAATTATGATCTACACAAGTTTTATCATATTTGAATGCATCAAAATTTGATTCTGATCTATGCAAGTTTTATCATATGTTTTTCCAATGCAACTTTTCTTAGGCTTAGAAATTTAGATAATTTGTTTGAGTATACATCCAAAACCGACATAACATTCTTGGCAAAATTTGCTAAGTGTTGTTCCTCTTTTCAGACCCATAAAATTGTCATATTGTTGAAAAATGATATTTTGAATATTAGAGAAACCCATGAGTCAGTTCCCTTTTCTAAGCATGCTAGAGCTTTCTGCACATTTGTACTTCAAGTGTTGCATACATTGATGTCGATATACTTAGCTAGGTTAGGCTCGAATTTAGCTTCATTTATTGTATATTGATATGTTTTCTTATTCCTTTTGATTTATTTTACCATTGAAAAAGGATTCCTTGATAACTTTATTGATAGAAAAGGCCATGAATTGAGAGACCGTGTATAGTTTTTCAATGGGTTCTCTAACGTAACTCGATTTATTTATTAATCGGATATTTGTTCGCGAGTGTAACTGTACAATTTATGTGTCACTATCACTATTAGTTTTTATCCATGCAATACACAGTGCTTGGTAATAAAATGTTAATGCATTCATAATGATAACTTGGCGTGCACCACAAGGCATAATTGCAGTTGAACTGTTTGTGATTTTTTATCCTTTGTATCTAATTGCTAGATTGAATCAAGTACTTTATGTTTTAAAAAAATTCATTTAGCTCAGATTTTGTAGTTCATATTTCTGTTTATGTAGGTCTTATGCTTTGATTTTGAGAAGTTTTCGTCCATCTCTTTATCAAATCTAAATGTATGTGACGTGCTTATTTGTTGTTGGTTGCCAAGTAAGATTTCTCAACTATCATGAATACACTCAGTCTCGAAACATGGCATGTATACATCAACTTTCTATCGGAGAAAGTTTATTGTCTTCCAGATGGATATGAAATAAATTAATGGTCATTAGATGATTTTGACATGTCATCAACTTAAGAGGTCCAGTGTACTACCACAAATAACAGTGCAAAATAATTATAAGCTTACTTGAAATTTTTGAAGTTCTAAGTTAGCTGAACTTGATTTAAAATTTTATTTTAACAAAATAAAAGTTAAAACATCTTGTTTGGAAATTTTAAAGTTCTATGTCAGTTGCACTTGATTTGAAAATTTATTTTAATAAAACTCAATTTTTTTAATAACTGTTGACTTCCTCAGAATCTACGTGACTCTTTTGCTTATGCATAAATGTCATAACTATTTCTTATTTTGGTTGATTTTCATTGTGAATATTTTAGGTAGCTCCATTTAGATCTATTCTTCTTCTTCGCTCTCACTTTTACAAGACCCCTAAAAACAGAAAAAAATTATTGGTCTCATATGTTAAACAACTTGCTTGAAAATTTGAAGGTCTAAGCTTAGTTGTACTTGATTAAAATTTATTTTAACAAAATTAATTAGATTTCAAAAATTTTATTAACTTGATTTTCTCTGACCATACGTTATTCATTTGTTCATGAGTATTTGTGGCAACTATTTCTTATTTTTGCACTATCTTTTTTATAGATCTAGATTCAGTGTGAAATGTTGTGTTTTCCTTCATTGAGATCTATTCTTAATCATCTTCTTCTTCTTGAGAAGAGCTCAAACTTTGACGAAACACATACAAACAAAAAGTTTATGAAATAGATGTTTGGTTTTTTAATAGTTTTTTTGGCAATTATACCCCAAATTATTCAAATTTTGAATAATACTTTAATAAAAATCCGTGCATTGCACGGATCTGGAACTAGTTTAGCAAGAAACATGCTAAGTAAACAATCTCCATTGAAGAATAGCATTGTCTTTCCCTTTTCTAGCAATTTTTAGTACCATTGATGATATTATCAGTTGTCCTCGAGTTCACTATAGCTACTACTAGGATGAATAAGAAGACCAAATTAGAACACATTGGCTTAAGGATAGTCTGAAGCTCGAACTCTCGCAGGTTCTATAGTAATATAACAAAATCATAGTTCATAACAATAACGGACAACATAATAAAATTGAATGGAATCAATACTGCAAAATCCTTCAATGGCTTCAAGATGGGGGGGATGTAATGCATCTTATACAAGTTATATTTAACTACAAGCGGACGGATCAATACTTAAGATGCCAAATATCATATAGCTAAATAAAATGGAATTTTGCAGAGCCTAATCAAAGAGGTGATACATAAAGTTCCCAGTGTTATTCAGTAAAAGGCTCAAGTGTAAATTCCAAAGAGAACAAATTATTTTGGTTAGTTTTGCAAAACCCCCCAAAACTTTAGGGCAATTCCCATGAAAACCCATGAACTTCGTTTATTCCACTAAACCCCCAAAACTTCTTTCGTGAAACCCCTAAACTTTGAGGCATCTCAAATAACTCCCTAAACTTTAGCTTTTTCCCAACATACTCTCTAATGGCATTATTGTTCAACTTCAAATTACCCAAATAACTTCAACGAAAAAACTAGGGGAATTTGGGGGAAAAGGATTTTTTTTAAATCAAAACATAAGGATATATAGAGGGGACTTTTTTTATTGTGGGTTATTTTAATCAATTGAAGCCATGTACTTTGCATGTGCATGTGCAGGGGGTTAAAACTAACGGTGTTAACTTAGAGGATTTTGTGGGAAAAGCTTTGGGGGTTTAATGGAATAAAGAAAGTTTAGGGCATTTTGTCTGAAACGCACCCAAAATTTTGGGGGTTTTGTGAAATTCACCCTTTCTTTTTTTAGATAGGGGATAGAGAATAAGAAAATCCATTTAAGCAGAGCAATAGATTAATGTACGGAACTGCACATTAGGGAAGACAAAGATTGAATAGTTATAATATTCTTAAAAGGAAATATAAAATCTTGTTCCCCTCTTTTCTATTTAAATTTTATTTCGGGCTCTATCTAATCCAACCATGTTAATTCAATTCACATTGTTTAGAATTCCTATTTAAATCAATTTAATCCATCTATCTTCTAGAATCTATTTAAAACATATTTTTATCTCCTTTGAGAAACATTATACATCTTTATTTCCATTCTACTAGAAAGCGTATATTTGGACAAATGATAAAATTGACTCGAGTAAATGATTTCAATAAAAAGTAAAACGTAAATCCAATAATGTTAAAATTTACTAAAGGAGAATATCTCTATGTGAAGCTCACAGAGATATGTTTAGCACGCAAGTTAAGAATTTACTGACCTTTAAAAGTCTTTTATTTCTTCTTGAATCTATATTTTTATTTTATAGGATAAGGGAAAAAAACATGAAGTTTCACGTTGCGCTACATATGCATTTTACTAACATACTTTTGGACAAAGAATAGTTTTTTTTCTCTCTCCCTAGAACTTATCACAAGAACCAAGGATGCCAGGTTCCCTCTTAAGAGCCTGGTGGATAGTAAGCAAACTTGATTGGGGGGAGGTGATTGCCTTACCCCAGAAATTGCACACCACAAATGATGTGGTGTTCATTCAGAAACACAAAAAGCACATGGATGGAGGAATTGAAGAGCAAATATACAGAATTAAAAGTAATGGATATTTACATTGGTGAAACCGAGGTTAGAGAAGTGCTTTATTTAGGTGCTTAACTTCTTTTTTAATGGCAAATATTGATTTTAATAGCACCTCTGAGATGCAAATATTGAATTGTCCCCAATTTTTCTTGCAAATGAGAGGATCCAAATCCCTTACCCCTACAGACGCAGCGTTGTACAACTTCTTTACAAAGCAAATGCTACGACAACCTCAATGATAACAAAGACCATTGACTCAGGTCGATCTTGACTTCCTCCCTTTTAGCAGTTGATAAATTTGGTTGTGCTTGGTACTTATTTATTTTATTTATTTATTTTGTGTGTGTGTGAGGGGGAGGAGTTAGGTAAACAGATAACATTTGGTTTTAAATAGCAACAAGATATGTGACAAGAGACAGTTACCATTTGGTTAGTGAGAGATCGGATGAGTTAACTTCAGGTTATGAATGGTGTCAAAACAAGAAATGAGACAAAAAAACACATTTGTGACATAAAAAGATAGAATGGATAACGCAAAACAATTAACATTTGGTTCTAAATCGTGACAAGTGATAAAAGAAATGTTTGCTTGAGAACTAGAACACTATATAAAAACTATTATTTATTTGGAATAATTTACGTTTATAAGGATGTTGGGTGCAATAGTGAACTAAAATAATATAATTTACTTGGAATTACCTATTGATTTTATATGCGAATTGAGAGTATGCTAATGCATATCGCTAACAGACAATCAAGCCATGCATACAATGAATTGGTAAATGTATCTAAACATTTCTCTCAAATTGCTTTATGGCGTTGAAGTATTCTAAATTTGTTTACATTTTATGATCAGGTTACTCTATAGTTGGTTTTGTAATTCAAAGGTTATTTATCAAATTTTTGTTCCACGTAGAAATAGAAACTGCAAATTACTAGTAGCAAAATAAAGTATTATATATCAGAATTAAGATTTTATGAGGTTGCAGGAGATACCTCTGGTGGCACATCTAGGAATAAAACAAGATCTGGAGCTATCAAGCCCACCTCTGGAGCCTGCAAGAGATACTACTAGTTTTTACTAAAGCAGAGGTAAATCCCGCTATGCATGTCTGACACTGAACTGAATTACCTTGCACCAATCAATGTCTAGTCCTTTAGCGGATGAGAAAGCCACTCCAGAATAAGAATAGCGGTCCACGACGAGAGAAGTTCCACTTCTTAGTTTGCTTTCCATCTGAACTCTGAAGTAAGAGAGAAAAAGAGCTTACATACATGCATAAACATAAGTATGTATGTTAATATATATGTATGTGTGCGTATTCTAAGAAACTCTACTGCCATTCAACTAAAAAGGATAAACTAGCACAAAATAATCACATAAATCGATGTCCTCCGTACATGCTTTCCACCATTTACACCATCTAGAATCAGTCTTTTACCACAAAGACACACCCCGTTAGAATTTTTGAGGAAGCAGAATGAAGTAACCTATCCAAATGGCACTAATTCTCTCAAATAAATCAAGAAAAAGTGTTCAGCACAGGGCAAAGGAATGGTTTAAGATTAATATGGACAACTAAAGGATGTGCAGGAGCAGGCAAGATGAAGGAAATTAGGAAACCCAAAAAAAAACGGAAAGGTGATGTAACAACCATGTGTATATATAGTACGACATTGGAAAGAAATAGAAAGAAAGATAAGTGAATATAAAGTCGAGTCTAGCAAAGCGGTCGGCTCAAAGTAAGTTATCTCTCATATATAAGATCCATATTACACACAAGAGACATGAGCATCTCCCTAAAATGGAATCAGAGCCCACATTGTGACACAAAGCAATGGAGTTTGATAAGAAGCCCTCCTTGAGAGATAAACAACATTTGTTAGCCCACCAAGGGGGGAAGTCTGTGGGTCGTTAGTCCATGGATGGTAAAGATCCTATGTAATGCTAATTAGACTAGAAGAATAGTGCCGATAAATGACAATGGAGACCAACCTCCACTTTACCCGTGGATATGTTTTGAGCCTGGGGATCATGGGCATTGTTTCTCACCGACGATGAGTTGTGCTAGATGAAGGTCTATTGAGTGTATTCACGCCGGAAAGGGGAGATTGTTAAGAGTATTCATGAGTGAATATAAGTCTTTCACAAAAAGATAGCTAATTTAATGAAAAGTTGGGACCAAAATATGTAGTTTAAACTTTTCAATCAGAGGGATTCCTAAACTACATTTAAGGATATTTTGAAAAATTACTCGCCAATATATCCGAGCACCTCCGGAAAAATTACAGTCATAGAAGGATATTTCGAAAAAAACATTAAAATGTGGTTCCCATCCCTGGTGGAGTGGACAAATTCAGTTAAAATCCGAGCAATGGCAAGGAAAGCATACGAGTAGGGCGTTCTGAGCCATTCATGGGAACGGTTGAGGAACAGTTTGGTGATTTCAACTGTCCCATCTATGGTTGGTCCAGAACAATCCGCTCACATGCAAGATGCCCTAGTAAGATTACCTGGGTCCTTGGGACCAACCAAATACTAACTTTATCCCCCAGTTTCCACGAGAATTTAGATAAAATGTGATTGCAAGTCGAAGACATGAGATAAAATTATTATGTCTCTATGTATAAGCATTTTACCTAGATTAATCAAACGGAATGGAGTAAGTAGAATCACAGTGGACTACATTATACCTTTTCTCCCATCGATTCGCGCTGAAGAGCAAATGAATCGTCCTATCATCCAACTGCGACTCATTAGCCAAATACGCCGAGATCATTTGCCCGACGCGCGTGCTCCGGTCCGGAAACCTCCACGCTTCGACCGGCACTCCCTTCTCCTTCAAGAATGAGACCAGCCTCGCCGACTGCGAGGTTTTCCCGCTGCGATCGAGCCCTTCGAAGACGATGAGAGCGCCTCTCGATAGACTGCTCCGATCGACATTTTCCATCCGAAGGCAGCGAGTCGGCGATGAGAGGATGGTTTTGGTGGAGAAGCGAGAAGTGAAGTTTTGGTAAGTTGAAGTCGCAATTGCTCTTAAATTTCTGAAGGAGAGTGCAAAATTGTTAAGAGATTTTGGGTGATGGAGGAGTTTAAAGTTGAGTAAAACCCTAGAGAAAACGAGAAAGATGAGATCTTTATCTTCTTCACCTGAACGACGCCGTAGTTTCTGGGGGGAGTAGGAAAAGGAGGCCGCCGCTCCGTAAAGACGTAAAGTCATTTTTTATTTTTTTTAAGGGAAAATTGCTTGGGGAACCTAATTAAATTGGGCCATGCATCCACACCCCAAGCCCAAAGACCATAACCAAAAAACCCTAAACTTGAGAGATATGTGCAACCAACCCCCAAACCCACTGCCCAAGAAAATCTCTTCCCAATTTACCCTTCTTCTTCCCAATTTAAAAGCTGCTCAAGCCAATGTTAACTCTCCTCCGCCTCCAGCTCCTCCACCGCCGCCATTTCTCAACCTCTCCCTCCCAGATCCTCCCCCCCTCCGACCCCTCTGCCGTCCTCACCTCCAAGCAAAAATCCCTTACCGCCCTCGTCCTCCTCATACAAATCCCCCGTGATCCCTCCCCCTCCTCAATCAAACGTCGAGCATGGATGAAGATGAAGATCTACGCGAGAAACCATGGCGTCGACACCGTCGTCCACCACGCCGGCCAGGCCGTCGCCGGCGGCGCCAACATTTTCCAAGATCGCATGGTATTTTTGCCCTAATTTGTAATTTAATGCCCCAAAATTTGACCATTAAGTGAGAAAAGAGAAATTTGAAACTACCCTCTGAATGTTGAAATGCATCAAGAGATGGGAGAGAGATTTGGGCTCTTGTTAATGGATTCAAGAGTTGAATGTCTCGGCCTTGGATATCAACAGTACACAACCAAACATGATTAGATCCAATAAGCACTTGTTTCTTATTTCTGGCACAAGTAACTCGCCAAGTAACTCACCGTAATTGATGTCTTCCCACTAGTTATCATGACATTGCATTAGCAATGGTATGGGAGGGGGTTTATTGGGAAGGATACAGTGGCATAATGGTAATTTTGGTGGAAGCAAGTGAAGGCTATCAATGACAAGGGAAAATTGCTTGGGGGGAACCTAATTAAATCAAGATCGCATGGTATTTTTGCCCTAATTTGCACTTTAATGCCCCAAAATTTGACCATTAAGTGAGAAAAGAGAAAATTTTGGGGGGCATTGAAGTGCAATAAGCTGAAAAAGATAAAATTTTCGCAAAAAGAACTGTAATTTTATTTTTTTGAATGGTTTGTAGGGAATGAAGAACTATAGGAGCTTTAAGCAGACAGTGAGAAGGCTGGAAGAAGCTGCGATGACTTGTAGAGGGCATGAGAGAGTTCAGCTGCTGAGGAGATGGCTGGTTGCTTTGAAAGGAATTGAGAAGGCTTCTGATGAGAAGAGTCCAGAGCAGGCTCAGTCTTCTGATGAGCCCAACTCCCCTAATTCTACTAATTCATCGAAATTATATAGTGTTGATGATAGCAGGACAGAGGATTTGTACTGCAGATTGCTATGTTGTTAGATTAATTTGTTGGTTCTTTGAAGAAAATTAGGTTGTAGGTTTGGAGAGTTATACTCTATTTGATGGGTTGAAATCATTTGTGGGATGATTTTGATATAATAACAGCTCAATTCTGTGTGACTTTTGGTGCCCATATGTGATATTTTAGTATGATGTGTGACTTATGCTGCATTTAGTCACATTTTGGTATTTTGTGTGACTTTTGTGGTTGTTACGTGACATTTTAGTATTCTGTGTGACTCTTGGGGCCCATATGTGACATTTCAGTATTCTATGTGACTTTTGGGGCTGTTATGTGATATTTTTACATTTTCTGTGTTATATTCTTGTTATTAGTTACATATCCTGCTATTAAGTGTTATGTTATATTTCTACAGGTATGATTATGGCATACATGCGTATTTTTTCATCAAGACGATCCTCGAGGGAAGGGAGATAATGAACGTTGAAGCCTTGCACATGGAGTCGCATATGCTACGAGTAGGACTTGCTGCTCAACTCATATGTGAAGGGCGTGAATGGAAAAAAACTACGATTGAAATTAGACAGTGATGATCCAGAATATTTTTTGTACTTTGGGGGTAGTGATGTACCTATGATTGAGTGGAAGTATTAGACTCTACATGTAACTGTAACATTTGTTTAAACGCTATGATGTAAAGGATAACTAGTTTACTAGTTGTGTATGATATTTGTTGGATTGTTGTGTGAGCTATATGTGAAGATATATGACCATTAGTATGATGTGTAACTTTTGAGGCTGCTATGTGATGTTTTAGTATGCTGTGTGACTTTTGATACTTGTATGTGACATTTTGGTGTTCTATGTGACTTTTGAGGCTGTTATGTGATGTTTTAGTATGCTGTGTGATTTTTTCTCATTGTATGTGACATTTTGGTGTTCTGTGTGACTTTTGAGGCTGTTATGTGATGTTTTAGTATGTTGTGTGACTTTTGCTCCTTGTATGTAACATTTTGGTGTTCTGTGTGACTTTTGAGGCTGTTATGTCATGTTTTAGTATGATGTGTGACTTTTGCTCTGATTATGTGACATTTTGGTATGTACCATTGATTGAGTGGAAGTATTAGACAAACACATAACTATTTCATTTGTTGGATGTTGGATGTTTACTAGCTGTTTGTAAATGATAAAATGTGCATTTGTAATTTCTTGGTGATCTTTTTTCTTTAGCATATTAAATGGAATCTAAAAGTAAAGTTCTGACAGGTATCACTGTTAATACTAACAATTCACACGAACATGTAATATGTCACATTTAAGTAGCAAATATCACAACAAAAGGGAAAATGTAACATGTAACAGACAAAAGTCACAAAAGAGTTTGAATTCTGCTAGGAAACGTTAATCATACTAAAACATCACATAACAGCCTCAAAAGTCACACAGAAAACCAAAATGTCACATACAAGGAGCAAAAGTCACATAACATACTAAAACATCACATAACAGCCTCAAAAGTCACACAGAGCACCAAAATGTTACATACAAGGAACAAAAGTCACACAGCATACTAAAACATCACATAACAGCCTCAAAAGTCACAGAGAACACCAAAATGTCACATACAATGAGCAAAAGTCACACAGCATACTAAAACATCACATAACAGCCTTAAAAGTCACACAGAACACCAAAATGTCACATACAAGGAGCAAAAGTCACACAACATACTAAAACATCACATAACAGCCTCAAAAGTCACACAGAACACCAAAATGTCACATACAAGAAGCAAAAGTCACACACCATACTAAAACGTCACATAAAAGCCCCAAACGTTACACATCATACTAATGGTCACATATCTTCACATATAGCTCACACAACAATCCAACAAATGTCACACACAACTAGTAAACTAGTTATCCTTTACATCATAGCGTTTAAACAAATGTTATAGTTACATGTAGAGTCTAATACTTCCACTCAATCATAGATACATCACTACCCCCAAAGTACAAAAAATATTCTGGATCATCACTGTCTAATTTCAATCGTAGTTTTTTTTCCATTCACGCCCTTCACATATGAGTTGAGCAGCAAGTCCTACTCGTAACATATGCGACTCCATGTGCAAGGCTTCAACGTTCATTATCTCCCTTTCCTCGAGGATCGTCTTGATGAAAAAATACGCATGTATGCCATAATCATACCTGTAGAAATATAACATAACACTTAATAGCAGGATATGTAACTAGTAACAAGAATATAATACAGAAAATGTAAAAATATCACATAACAGCCCCAAAAGTCACACAGAATACTGAAATGTCACATATGGGCCCCAAGAGTCACACAGAATACTAAAATGTCACGTAACAACCACAAAAGTCACACAAAATACCAAAATGTGACTAAATGCAGCATAAGTCACACATCATACTAAAATATCACATATGGGCACCAAAAGTCACACAGAATTGAGCTGTTATTATATCAAAATCATCCCACAAATGATTTCAACCCATCAAATAGAGTATAACTCTCCAAACCTACAACCTAATTTTCTTCAAAGAACCAACAAATTAATCTAACAACATAGCAATCTGCAGTACAAATCCTCTGTCCTGCTATCATCAACACTATATAATTTCGATGAATTAGTAGAATTAGGGGAGTTGGGCTCATCAGAAGACTGAGCCTGCTCTGGACTCTTCTCATCAAAAGCCTTCTCAATTCCTTTCAAAGCAATCAGCCATCTCCTCAGCAGCTGAACTCTCTCATGCCCTCTACAAGTCATCGCAGCTTCTTCCAGCCTTCTCACTGTCTGCTTAAAGCTCCTATAGTTCTTCATTCCCTACAAACCATTCAAAAAAAATAAAATTACAGTTCTTTTTGCGAAAATTTTATCTTTTTCAGCTTATTGCACTTCAATGCCCCCCAAAATTTTCTCTTTTCTCACTTAATGGTCAAATTTTAGGGCATTAAAGTGCAAATTAGGGCAAAAATACCATGCGATCTTGATTTAATTAGGTTCCCCCAAGCAATTTTCCCTTGTCATTGATAGCCTTCACTTGCTTCCACCAAAAGTACCATTATGCCACTGTATCCTTCCCAATAAACCCCCTCCCATACCATTGCTAATGCAATGTCATGATAACTAGTGGGAAGACATCAATTACGGCGAGTTACTTGTGCCAGAAATAAGAAATAAGTGCTTATTAGATCTAATCATGGTTGGTTGTGTACTGTTGATATCCAAGGCCGAGACATTCAACTCTTGAATCCATTAACAAGAGCCCAAATCTCTCTCCCATCTCTTGATGCATTTCAACATCCAGAGGGCAGTTTCAAATTTCTCTTTTCTCACTTAATGGTCAAATTTTGGGGCATTAAATTGCAAATTAGGGCAAAAATACCATGCGATCTTGAAAAATGTTGGCGCCGCCGGCGACGGCCTGGCCGGCGTGGTGGACGACGGTGTCGGCGCCATGGTTTCTCGCGTAGCTCTTCATCTTCATCCATGCTCGACGTTTAATTGAGGAGGGGGAGGGATCGCGGGGGATTTGTATGAGGAGGGCGAAGGCGGTAAGGGATTTTTGCTTGGAGGTGAGGACGGCAGAGGGGTCGGAGGGGGAGAGGATCTGGGAGGGAGAGGTTGAGAAATGGCGGCGGTGGAGGCGCTGGAGGCGGAGGAGAGTTAACATTGGCTTGA